TTCCCTCATAGAGTCCATCTCTGGCCCCAGATCTCAACTCCTCCAACATCAGAAGAGCCTTCCATCCATCCTGCTTCCCACCTTTGATGTTCAGCATCCATTCTGTACCCTTTTTACATGTTCAGTGTGAGAAAGTTAGGAAGGAAATAACACAGGGTAGATGAAGAATGACTGGGAGAAAATGGGGGCGATGGGCAGGTATTTTTAAAAAGGGGTTCAAGAAATCCTCATTAGATGTTTGAACAGGAGCTAAGGAATGAGATGCGCCAAGAATCTGGGAGTAGAGTGCTGCAAACAAAACAGTGCAGCAAGTGCAAAGGTCCTGAGGCAGGAGTGAGCTACGGAATTGGAAAGAAAAAGACTAGGATGACTGAAGCTTAATAAGGAAAAGAGAGGGAAGAACAAGGATTTGTGTAGGGCCTTTCTATCTTCCCTGCAGTACACATACGCTCCATGAGAAAAGACACCCTCTCTGGCACACAGCACATTTCCTAGGATGCAGTACACACATGATTAATCACTGAATAAAAAGAACACATACATGCACACTCTATGTCCTACAGCCTCCAGAAGAAAACTGTACTTCGCACAGCACTCAAGGCTCTTCCCACAGCCTAGCCTTTCCTCTGATCCTTGGTCCCAAGTTCTGGCATCTGCTCATAAGGGAACATTCACAGTTTCCTGCTCCCGCCTCTCAGACAGAGTTGGACTTCTGGCTTGGGCTTGGGATTCCAGCTCGCCACCTGCTGTTAAAGCTTACTCCTGCCTCAAGCCCAAGACTCAATTGCCCCCTGACCTGATGCCCCAGCAGAACATCCCCTCCTCTGCGCTCCCTGGCCCTCTGCTCCTCCTTTCACTAGCGGCTTGATCCCACGTTAATCCTCCCGAGATGCAAGATCTTTAGGTCACTGAAGACAGTGATTATCTTCTCTTGTGAAGGAGACAGAAGAAAGGCAATCCAATCAGCACATATTAAACCTACAAGGGGCATGACTTCCGAACATTGTTCCCTCGGACTGAGTCATTCAGACCCTCGAGCCGCATTCTACTATCCCTTGCGTCCAAAGTTTTAGATTTCTCAAACTTCGGCGTTCCACTACCATAAATAAAAGGCTAATTCTCACAAATAATTTTCCTTTTCTTCCTCCAAGTCTCAGTGGGAAAACTTCTCATCTGGTAAGCTCTGAAAATGGCCCAGTCAGAAGCTTGAGGGGCAGCGGTCTCGGAATAAACATACTGAGAGCAGAAGGTGGGGGGAGGCCCGGGCCCAGGAGAAGCAAGAAACCTTGGGCCTCGCCGGTAGGGTTACTGGGCTCCCCCGGAGTGCACGGCCCTGACAAGGCGAAGCCTTCCCCTTACGCTGGGGCAGGAGGAACTCTGGACACAGCATCCCCGTCCCCAGGATGGAAGCCAGGGGACAGCTCGCCTCCCTGGTGAACTCTGGACACGGTGGCCCTGTGCCCTGGGGCTACTGCCCTGAGCCGTGGCAGAGGCCAGGGGCGCAGGATGCGTGCAGAGAGCTTGCGGGAGCCACACACCTGCCACCTCTCCCCTGAACTCTCCCTCGTCTCTCCCTAGACAAAGTAAACGTACAGGCTCTTTCTTTCCCTTATTTCAGATTCACATTCTGAAGCATCTTTCAGCTGTGGTATTTCTGTTACACATCCTTGCCGGGCTCTCCTCCTCACAGTTATGCGTTCTTGAAACGCATTATTTTCACTGAAGCACCACTTAGGGAAATGAGATCACAGTAAAAATAGAAAACAAACCTCCTCCACATGCTTAAAGGATAAAACAATCCCTGGAGCCAGAACCACAGGAAATGCCGGACTTTATGCGCTCCGACCTGCAGAACAGGAGGCACAGAGCAAGGGCCAAGGGGTCAGGAGCCGGACAGACCTGCCTACAACCTACGTTCCTTCTCCTGCCACCTGCCTTCCTGTGGCCCTGCATACGTCACGTAACTCCGAAGCCTAAGTTTCCATATCTATACAACGAAATCCGTATTTGTACAACAGTCAAACAAGCGGGGTTGCCAAGGATTTGGAGACTATATACGTCAAGCCCTGGAACAGAGTGACATTTAGTGGAGAGTCGGTAAGTGGCAGCTCATACGGGATTAGCACTCTTTCTACCACGTCTAATGGGGCCTCTTGCCAAGAGGATCAGGTCCTCATAGATAAGCAGGAGTTGAGTGGGCCCCAGACCCTGGCCCCCATTTCTAGGGCAGCACAACTTCAAATGCATTCCATCGAATTTGTCAACCCATGTATCCCCGTGGCAGCACAGAACATATGGTCATTGTACCCATACACAGACTACAGACTGATGCTAAGGAAAAAAAAAAATGACTCAATTTAGAAGAGCCAGCCTATTACCACAGAGCTGCAAAAATCACGTCTCCAGAGAGAAAAACCCAGCAGCCCCTCAGCTTCTGAGAGGCCAAGCCTCAGTTTAAGTTTTCCATACAGGAGTATAATACATTTACTGTGGCCCCGTTGCTGAAGCTCAGAGAGGAGAGAGGACAGTGATGACTTGAAGTGCAGAGAGCCTGAAGCACCACTTCCTGGTCTGCTGTCCTGCGCTCCAGGTTTCTGAGAACCAGCCCCCGCCTTCCACGGTTGGTGCAGGGTGTCCCAAGAAAGAAGGTTACTTTTTGGTGATGCTAGATGCTGACTTCACATAAACCTAATATAAAGAACATAAGAGAAAAGAAAGAAGCAGACTCACAGATATAGAGAAGAAACTAGTGGTTCCCAGTGGTGAGAGGGCAGGCAGGAAGGGCAACATAGGGGCAGGAGATAAGAGGTACAAACTACCATGTATAAAATTAGCTACAAGGGTATATTGTACAACACGGAGAATACTGCCAATATTTTATAATAACTTTAAATGGAATAAAACCTTTAAAAATTGTGACTCACTCTATTCTACACCTATAACATATTATATTGTATATCAACTATATTTCAATATTAAAAAACTTAATAATATTCACAAAATCAAGAACTGTGTAAAGCACTGTGCTGACTGCTAGAAAGGTTACAGAAATAAGGCAACTGGCTCCTCCCCTTAAGGAGCTTAGACTCTGGTCAAGGAGACGAGATCTGTATAAAGTCTTCACAGCACAAGGAGTAGGTACCAGGGGGCATCTCTGACCACGAGGCTCATAGGAGGGAAGCCTGGATGCAGGCTGGGTTGTAAGGAAGTTTCTAAGGCAGGAAACTGAGGACCAAGCAGTATTCTGGCATTTAGAGAAGAGAGGGTTCCACAGAAAGGAGAAGAACATTTGCCAAAAGCTCAAAGAAAGAGGTCCATGGAGAGGTGCCAGCCTGGACTGGGCTCCACAGCGCACGGGTAAGACCAGGGATGGCAGCCCTCCCTACACACCAGCATCCTCTGAAGAGCTTTCTAAAAATACAAATGCCTGAGCCCAACCCCCACAGACCCCCAGGCCTCTGGTCTAGGGGTGAGGGAGAAAAAACCTATTACAGCAGGAAAGAAAAAAGGCCTGGCATCTATCATTCTGAACTGTTCCTCCAGCACAAGAAACGGCCACTAAAAGTGGTTTGGCAGGCTGGATGAGGCAAGGGGATGACTGATCCTGTCCCTTGGGTGACCAGCTCTGCTTTGAGGGAGACAGGCGTTGTGCTCAGAGAATCACCCAGGCACTGAGGTCAGAGGCTTGAAGCCCACAGCCCTCAGAGGACAGCCTTTGAGGCTCCAGGCAGGGGGAGGGGCAGCAGGCAGAAACAACCACCTTACCCACAGCTTGGGTCTTAATCAAGCAACAATCCTACCCTTACCCCCTAAAAGGCAAGAAGTAGCACTCTAATCTTACACTATTATTTGCAGAAGCCAAATGTTCCAAGTCTGAATTGTCTGAATTCGACTACAGCTCATCAAAAGGACTGGCTTTTCAACATTTTTATTTACTTTTCTTTTTTTTTTTTGCAGAGAGAGGAGGGAAGGAGGCAGGGAACACAGCTTAGTATATGGAACTTATGCCTTTGGAACCAAAAATCTGAGCCCCAGGGTTCACTAACTTGCCCCCTACACAGGGGTCCCCTCCATATTATCTGAGTCCAATGCACGCACCTTCCTCCACTGTCACTCACTTTCCTCACGTCACATCCACGTAGGAATAAAGGAATCAGAACTGTCACCTCCCTTCTCAGAGATGAATCGTCTATTTCATTATCACTGACATTCAACAGAAGAGGCTGGTCTGGAAGTGGCTTTCACTACAGTGCACCGAGGGTAGCACTCCTCCCTTGCCCATTTGCACTAGCTGTGGGACACTGGTTTGCTTTCTTCCCCAGAAAGAACTATCTCCCTCTCCCCTCTAGGTTCACCAATCCACTGGCTGAAAGTGAGTTCGGATGATTCCGCAGCCACCTATGAAATCAAGAAATCAAAACAGGGGGAAGTGGTAGAGAACGTGCTTAGCATGCATGAGGTCCTGGATTCAATCCCCAGTACCTCCTCTAAAAATAAATACATAAACAGACCTAATTAACTCCCCCCACAAAAATATAATTAATTAAAATAAATCAAGACAGATTCACAAGCTCCAAGGATAACTTAAAGCCTTCCATCTTCCGGACAGAAAGACTGCCAACTGTGTCTTGTCTGAAAGGAAACTTAAAGGCAGCCATGGGCAAGAGGAGGAGGAACATCTCCAGGTTTCAGTTCATACTAAGAAGGGAGGGACAAGGGAATCGCTCTAGATTTCTAGAGCAACATTTCCTGAGGGGGGCTCTGTGGACACTGCCTCAGGCACGCGGGGTAGGGGTCGGGATCGGGGTTGGCGGGGGCCGGGTAAGAATGAAGTGAGACACTATTGTGCCGGTGCCAAAAGGCCAGCCAGTAAAATAGCACAGGCAGTACTCCTACCCTCCCTCTCCAACTAGAGTCCCAAGGAAAATTAGGAGCCCCACAGTGAAGGAAAATGATTCTCGAACATGCCACGGAACCACCATGACTAATAATTCACTTGCTTTAGAAGCGCGCTGCCCAGTACGCAGCACCAGCTATGCCCGGTTACTGAACGCCTGGAATGTGGCTGGTCCAAACCGAGATGGGCTGAAAGTGAGAATACACACCGGGTTTCAGAGGCTTAGCCTGAAAAGAGAATGCAAAAGTTACCTCCACTTTTCACACAGATTACATATTGAAATGATAGTATTTTGATTATATATTGAAATGATAGTATTTTGGATATATGGAATTAAGTAAAGCATACTATAAAAATTAATTGCACTTGTTCATACTTTTAAACCATGCCTATAGGACGTTTAAAATCGTGTACGTGGCTCACACTGTATTTCTGTTGAACAGTGCTCTGTTAGGAATGCTAAGCGACAGCCCAGGCTCAGAAACCCCAAGTACAGCATGTTATTGTGGCACTTGTGCCACATTTTGTTTTTCCCCTGAAAGACATGTACCATATCCCAGAACTGGGAATGGATAAAAATAGATGAAAAACGCACCTGGACATTCTGACCAGGATTCATAAGACAGCCCACCCAGCAATGTGTAATTTCCAAAGGTGTCAAGGAATGAATATCTTCCCTTTTTTTGGGTCTATTATCCCTTAGATGCTTATGTAATGACACAAGACGAAACCTGCTTTGCCTTTCGCTCCTTGGATGTATCTGTAAAGTTATTCCCAAATATCATGCTAAAGTCTGACTAAATTTGGAGCTGAAAGCATTACCCAGTTCTTTCAGAAACCATCTATCAGGGTGCTGCTCCAGGCCCACTGGGTTATGCACTTCTTGTTCTACGTAGATTCTAGAATCTTCCACTCACTCCATGACTGAGCAAACCACCTCTTCCCTGTGAAAGGGCCAAGCATGTGAACGTCCACAGAGCTTTCAGGAGCAAGTGACACAGATGGTGGCGAAGGTCACCATTCACTATCCTAGTCAACTTGTGAAAGGGCGTTGGGGAAGCATCACCAGCCGGGAACAGTCGTGTGACTGAACACTCAGCCTGCTTTGTAGTTCAGCTTCCCAGCTTGTAAAATAGGAGTAACAACATCCATCTCACAAAGGAACTAATGATTAGATGAGGGAAATCTGAATGCAGAGCATGCTGCCTGGAACTGGGGAAACCCAGCTTCCCTCCAGACTCTTCTCTGCTCTGTGGGCTTCAGTCATCTTTGCCATCAAGTTAGAGACCAGCCGTAAAGCTCTGGTCCTTTCTAGACTTAAAATTGAGAGGCTATCTACGGTCAGTTGTTACAAGGCAAATTAGATCACCAACAGCTCAGAAGATCTGTCAGACTAGGACAGGAAGTAGGTTTTCCCCTTTCTGGATTTTTTTCCTCAGAAGCAGGAGTTCATTAATGTTGATCATTAATGTGAAGCGGCTGTTGTGTCATTCCTAGCACCACAAAGAGAGAAAGCTGGGAACACACCCACACACACACGTTTCTCAGGGTCCCCAGGAAGCCACCCTGCGCTAGCAGTGACTCCCCTCCATGGGAATGGCTCCACTGCAATGTTGTCCTATCCTTTCACTATTATGGCCCCACTCCTGTGTCTTGCCCACTCAGGTCCTCAAAATCATCTGCTGTCATTAACGACGGGTGCTTCCCCTTCTTCAGATCTGGCAACTCCATTTATACGAAGCATGATGTATTTTCCTATCTCAAACCAGAAGCCTCTCCTTTCTCTGTTCTGGACAATTTCTCTATGTCCACTATCAGCCTCACAGAGGGAGCTCAAGGACGCAATTTTGAGAGATCTGGAAATTTATGTTGTCCTTAATTTTTTTTGTCTGAGTGGCTGATTTTACCATTATGATGCTTCAAGATGCCTAAGTAGTGCTGGGGATGTATACTTTTGGACTAAATAAATATGCGACAAACACAGATTCATTTGAAATAGTCAAGTTCTCGGATGGGTTTCCAATGAATCACGGGCAATAGGAAACTTTTAGCCATTGACAATTTAGGCCTGAGTCAGATAAGTGTCTCTAAATCAACAAGACCCTTACCAAGTCATCTACCTTAGTATTCAGGGATTAATGGAGGTCAGAGGCCACATCACCCAGAACCCCAGTCTGTGTGCCAAGGCATGTGGGGGAGACACTGAACCTCTTGGCTCTCAGCACAGCTGGGCAACCAGATGCTCTGGGCCCCATCTCTTCAAGCAGCAGGCTGCCTCCACCCTCCAGTTCTCAAATCCTCTTCTAGTCAAACCCCAATTTAGGAGCATTCGCATTCGAAAGCCCAAGGCTTCCAGTCTCTGAGTTGAGAATTCATTCTGTAAAATCTTCTCCAGGTTTCCCAAACATGCCCTCTCTATGCCCGTGTCATGGCGAGATGCAACTGCATCAAGTTTGCTGACGTGTTTCCCCCATCTACCTGGGTTCCATGGACCACCAAGGCCTATCACATAATGCTCAATAATGTCAGCAGAAATAGGAACACCTACTGGACCAGAGCTGTGTTTCTCGGACAGTGTGCACCGTGGGCTGGGATTGTGCAAAGCCACAGGATAAACGAGATGCATCTTCCTAGACATCAAGGTTAAAACATTTTCTCATAAAGACACTTTGAGAAGAAAAAGCAAAATTCATATGGGGTTAAAAACATAAAGTAGTAGTCTCCAGGCAGGCTGACAGCTTCCAAATTCAGGGTTATGCCCCAGGCTGTCGGGTGTATATGTTCTCTATCCTTTCTGCTAAAGAGGTCCCAGCCTAAGCTGAGAAACTCAGGAAGCTCTGGACTCCCTATGTGCCCCACTTTATGAGAGGCTGAAAGCACTCTGTCAGGGGTCAAAGATCACCAATGCCACTTTCTACGTGGGGGGAAAAAACCCAAAACAAAACAGGCTAATCTTACCGAAATGACTCAGAAAGTTAATGCTGGGGACAGGAAAACAGCTCTCTTCAATTACCGGCCCAGGACATCACATGATTAAGCTTGTGAAAGATCTTATACTTTTTAAAAGCCCAAAATAATGTACTACCTCTTGTTTGGGTCTGAGACCCTTTGATCACTTCCTGTAATGAAGCCCCATCAAAGAAACCCTTCTTTCACGCCTCTCCTCTTTTTCTTTGCCCGGATGCCTCAGCAGTAAACCCTTAAAGGCTCTAGAGAAAACAAATCAGAAGCACCTCTCTTGGGCTCTTTCTTACGGAAGCTTCAGGCGCACACCTGAAGCCTCCTGGAGGTCAGCCCTCCAGCTGAACGGACGGAAGTGCAAACACCCTACACACCTGCGGGGGGGGGCTTCCGCACTCCCGTGAAGGGCCTCCAGTAGTCCAGAATTTTCTGAACTTTTCTCCACCCCAAGCTTTCAAGGCTCTTAGCCAACCCTGTCCCAACTTGGGAGCCGAGAGGCAGGGCAAATATCTTGAGAGAGACTGAAGCAGCAGCTTTTTCTTGCTACAAGTGCCCTCAAGGGCAGCATAAGGACCCAACAGGGCTCCGGGCGGGAAGAGGGGCAGACACGCGCACCCAGGCCCCCAGTCCCGGTCCGCACTCACCTTGGCCGACGTCTCTCCAAACAGAGGCCTGTTGTCCAGGCCACTGGTGCCGTAGGTCCTGGTAGAAAAGTCCTCCATTTTGGGGTTTCTTCACTGTCCCCCAAGCCAATCAAAGCCGAGCCAGCATTGCCTCTCGAAGTCCCGGGTCCGCGATTCGCAGCGCCGCGGGATCACCGAGCACTCATGGCCGAAGCGCGG